ATGACTATTGATTTGTTAGGTTTAAAATTGGCCAGAATTTACCGACTTTATTCTAATTTTTCACTGGAAACTTTTTGAAATTTTGACAGCTACTAAAGCACCAGTTTTTGTCACTTGTTGGTGCTCACCGTCATCTCCCGTGTTTTCATTTTGCTTTCCAGTTCTCTTTTTTCCTTCAGCTGGCTCTTCATCTGAAGATGCATCCTCATCAGAGGAAAGATTGGCTTTGATTTCTTCTAAAAGCATTTTCTTGGCAATTCTTTGAAGTAAAACAAAACACACCTAAGTATGCCATTGCTTAAACAAATTGATGAATGACAAATCTAGGCCTATACAATTCAGAACTTCAGAAAAAAAATCACAGAGCTGCACAAAAAATGTGCATGGAGAAAAATAATGGCAGTAATGACAGGTTATCCTAATTTCTCATGTTTACATTAAGGTGTTAATCTGCTTTATGAAACAATCTCTATAATGCCTTTAAAAAAGCCCTCAAGTTTGGAGAGGTTTTAAAAATGAAAAGCACGTTTAAAAACTTAAGTAACTTTTAGTAATTTGAACCTTTTCATTCTCTCCCTGCCCCAACCTCTTATACTTTTTTCAGGCCCCATTTTCTCTAGTCAGTTGTGCTGCAATGACATTGAACCCATTCATCTTATTAGTTCTATTGGTTTCAAGAACATGAAGATGCTGTGAATCACATCCCTAAGGCACAGATCATCAAAGATACTTAAGGAGTCTTAACTCCTTTGAGAATCAGTCCCTAAATGATTATGGACAGCAAAAGCTTTAGCAACTGTAAAATCCTGGGTGATTTCATCTCTCTCTCTCATATATATATATACACAAATTAATGGCTAAGGCAGTACATACTGAACTCCTAAATGAATGCCAGAAGTAAGTTATGAAAAGTGCAACAAATACTCAAGAATTTTCCATACTATCAATGCCAATTTTGTCCTACTCAGATGATATGATTCTTTCTGTTTATGCCCATTCTACCTTAAAAGGAGATGGTGCAGCAAGCAAGATATTGAATTACAGTATGCTCATGTTGTCTCAATCTCCTGGTGGTCTATGGCTAGTAAAACTAGGGACATAATACTGGAGGAGACTTATTACCCTGAGACATTTGCCAGCACCTCCTAGGCAGTGACTCATGAGTGACAAAACAGTCGTATAGATTTGATAACTTCTGAAGAGGTAATCTATCATTTCACTTCCTACCCAAAATAATGTTTGCTCATCTTCCCCTAGTCTTACCACGAAAATCTTTTCCATTAAAAATAACATAATTCAGTGTATGGGAAAGTGCTGTAGTACTTGCAACAAAGAGAGCTAACATGAAAATACATACAGGGGTATATGACATGATGTACCAAAAGGGACAACAAAAAAATATCATGAACTTGATCAGAAAACTACATTTTAAATAAAAACAAAAAATTCCTGAATGAAACCAGCCTTTAGAAATAATACTAAAAAGGACTAAGAAGGAACTATAACCAGTGTATCTTTTTTCTATGTATAAATATATACATGAATACCAAATGGGAAAGTAGTTATACATAATAAAAAATCCATTAAACTGAAGAGTAATCAACACTTCATTTATAACAGATACAGAAAAAGCAGTCCCTAACATATTACTCCCTATACTGTGCAATTTAAATGAACTGGTTCAAGTCATTCGACTGAAGTATTAAATAAAAATACAAATCAAATATTTTATTTTCCAGCAGGCAGCATTCCCAAAACATTGCCAGCTTTTGCAATCTCTGCATTGTTATATCATCCCATTTTTTAAATTGTAGTTTAGCTATACAGTATTTTCCACCTTTTAATATGCAACTATAAATTCAAATCAGAGCGTAAGAGTAATGAGTGTACAATGACCAATTTAAAAGTAAAAAGGGGAATTGGGGAATTTTAATAAAGTAATTTTTTTTTTAAAGTATGAAGATGGTTATGGTCAAACAGATCTATAGAATTAAGTGTGCCAAGACATTAGAGAATCACTTGAAGAGAAAAGGCTCCCCATATTTACATAATGGACTTGAACACGATTTAAATTTATGCTTAAAAAGAGAGAGCGTGCCTAGAATGTTGTTTTACTTATTTATATGAACAGATTTCACTTTGTGGATCTGACCCCAAGCTTAGTGAAGTCTGTAGACAAAGTCCCATTAACTTTAATGGACTTTGCAGGAATCAGTTTAAAATATTAATAAATATACATGACAGCCGACAGGAGGAATAAATGGTAACTCATATTAGGTGAACACCATTTCTTGTGGGTTTTAAATCGTATTTGCATAACTCACTTCTAGTTTTCTTGAAAATAACATTAACTGGATTACTTAAAAGGGAAATGACATTCTTTTCTTACTTTTTCATAAGCATTAATCTTAAATTATAATGTAGGGCATATGGAGAGATCAAATCATAAGCAACATCAATAGGCTGCTTAGCTGTTAAGTGGGAAAGGGAAAAAGATGATAAATCTGAAAGGGCTAAAGTGTTGTAGCTGTGATGGCTATAGATCTGAAGGAAGGCACTTTGTGCCCAAAACCTTGTTCAACTTCCCCTCCAACTAAAAGTTGGTCCACTAAAATATATCACAAAAATACTTTCTGAAATTAAAATATATTTGCAGAATTAAATATAAAGTCAAAGTCCCCAAACACTATCCAGTAGCAGTGCATCTGATTGATTTTGATTTCACGTCATCCTCAATAACAACGTAAGACAGTGAGAGTGAACCCTGAGAGTGAACGATACTTACCTGGTATTGCAAGCTACCGTGCGTGCGCATCTATAGATCTATATATAGATATCTCTATTGATATATAGATATATTATAAATATATAATATTATAAAGAGGATTTTGATTCTTAAAATAAAGAATATTAATTTTCTTTAAAAAAAAAAGAACAGAATAAATCCTGCTAATAGAGACCTAAAAGATATATTTGACAATATTTCTGTGCATACAAAAAAAGTTACAGAAGAACGTTGTTACTTCTCTATTCAAGGTCACTGGCCTTAATATCTGAACTTCCTTAGGTTGGACACCTGTAATGGTTACTAAATACACATGTCTAAGATGACTGGATTTATAAATGTCTGCTTCTATTTCAGGAGACCCAAATTAAACATTCAATTTTTAGCTAGTGATTAAAAGGGTCTAACTGCTTCTTATTAAAAACTACAGCATAGTACAGCACAGCTATTTCTTTAACAGAAATAAGATTCAAATTTTAGTCATTTAAAACTATTCCCTGCCCTACGCTTTGCTGTTCTGGTGTTGTAAACTAACAATGAAAAGTGAATTTAGATTTTCTGACATTTTTTTCTACCTTTGGTACAACAACATGGCAAAAATATACCACAATGCATGAGCAAAATTAAGGATAGAACTGAACAGATAAAACCTTCTCAATACTTTTGTTAAATGTCTTGCATAACAGCATTCATATAATCAGGATATTGTTTGGCTCTTGAAATTAATTTTATTAAAGTAAAATTATATTTGGCCTCAAAGTAATAACATCTATTTCTACATCCAAATATAGGCAGAATCCCATTTTGAAATAGTTCAAATAAGACGTTTCAAGATGAACAGTTACTTAAACTGATTAACCTTCATCCTTTTTAGTACCTGCATCAATAAACTGTCCAAGTACCAGGACAATACAAGTCATGATCTTATGAAAAATCTCTCACCCCAAAGAACTGTGATAATTAAAACATTGTATATTTTTCTGGAATCAAAGACCTGAAGCAGTTCCTTAATCAACATCAGTCAAATGTTTACATTTCATTTAATATACAAGTTAAAAACATGGGAAGCCATATGATCTAGTGGACAAGACTAGATTATCCACTACAGGTGAGGAAATCTCTCCTCCATTCTCATCTTCGCCACTGACTTGCGGATCACGTGTAAATCATTTGACTTCTCTGGGTTTCCATTCCCCCTCTTGATCCTGTCTGAATAGTCTGCAAGCTTGTCAAAGAGAGCTTCTCCAGATATGCTTGGACCATGCCTTCCACAGTGATGCCCCAATGTCAAGTCAGGACTGTCAGACACCATTATAATCTAAATTAGCACTATAGCTAAGTAATTTTAAATTTAAATTATTTGGTTATATATGTTATCAGAAATGACATTCTTAAAATATTAATTTGTAAACTACACAGGTGCCAGATATCTTCTAATTTATGCTAGCAAAAAATATTTTCCGAATTAGCTAACTGGTAACCATTTTGGTTTCTTATGCACAAGATAGGGCTACCTTAAATTTATCCTTCATATAGTCCAGAAATAAAGGAATAGTACATGGGATCCTCATTCTGTGGATTTAAGCCCACATTGCACATAGTCTCATTCTTCTTCATGAATTAGAGAGCTGAAATGACGGACTTGCTTTCAGCTTGAGTTACACCTTGAGGATACACTGATATTGTTGTAAAATTAACTAAAAGTATCCGAATTCAACTAAGAATTAGTGTGTTAACATTCCTAATTAGTACTCATCGGAGATGTCCGTAAACACTTAATGTTTAAGTTGTCCAAATCAAGACATTAGACAGAATTTATTGCTTCAAGAAGCTGCATCATTTCATTACTAAAGCATAACTGAATTAATTTCATCCTGTGGCATATTTAAAAAAATAATTCTATTGAGAAAATAGTTTAATATAGGGTTGAATATAGTTTAGTAATATAGTTTAATATAGGCTGAAATGCCACACATAAATCACTTTTTTCCACATTAATTAGCCCAAACTGTCAAGTACTTTGTTCTATATGCTGTATTACGTCTTCAAAGAAACAATCTGATTTTCAAACTTTCAGATGTTGTATTAAATTAAATGCTTGGACAAGAAAATGTTTTACAAAAATTTATTGCATCCATCAAATACTTAAAGGCATTCTGCATTAATACACTATTTACCTCTTAATAAACAAGACTACTGCAAACATAGTAAACAGTACCATTTAAAAGACTGGAAGATCCAATAATAAACAAATACACAACATAAAATGAAAGCATACAGCACTGTCTGTCATATTATGACCCACTCAGATATTGCACTTTGGCAAAAATGATTTCAAGATTTAATATTTATGTCATGCACATCCAAATGTATGCAAACAACAGAATTTCTAAACTAGAGACTTGCAAACACAAGAGTGCCCACACTATAAATATACCATAGGTACTATAGTACCTTCTTTGGCCTGGTATAAAATAGGCAACTTGTCAGAGTAATAGGTAAAATGTTTAACACTTTTAGTGTTAAGTATAGAGAAAAACAAACCTTAACTATCGAAATGTGTTCCACCTGTTTACAACGTTGTATCTCTCAATGATTACGGTGCCAAATACAATGCATGTTGAATGCAGTATGAATTACACATCCTGTTGAAGGTTGACAAAATTATTTATTGACAGATACCTCCCCACCCTAAGAAAAGTATACTCAAAATATTTCCTAAATAAAAAAAAATTAAACAATTATTAATCTTAAAAGAAATTACAGAAGCTGATTTTTTTTTTTTTTTTTTTTTTTTACAAGCTAATGTTATATTTTCTGATTTGTTTTAAGATCAACTGGGAAAAGAGCTCATCTTCCAAGCTAAAAGCTTAGATCTATCCGTTAATGTTTTTATTGTAAAAATAGAACTTTCTGACAAATGCCTGCCCTTAAATTGGCTAAAATTATCAAACAGGAAACACTTAAGAAAATGTGGGAAATTAGGAGTGATATTAAAGCATCATTTAAAAAAAAACAAAAAACAACAAACAACTTGAATTACAAATGTTTAAGTGTTCTGCTTATGACCCTGTGCTGTCAGTCCCTGAAGAGTGACATTTTTATTTTTTTGCTTATTTACAGAACTGAAAATAGGCAAGAACTTGATTAGCAGCAATATCTCTATGCCCAAATGAGGTCCATATTGGATATAAAGCATTTTAAAAAAATTATTTCAGTTACGTATCAAAGATTAGACTTGTGGAACGAAGATGCTAATGAGGCTCAGAAGCAGAAAAAGCAGGTGCCATCAGCAACTGTGCAGCAAGGCAATTAAGCTGGTCCCACATATATTATATGGCAAAAAAACCTCAACAACCCCAGTTTCTGAAATACTATATAAAATTTTGTGAAACACTTTTTTTTTTTTTTAAAACGTCTACAATAACTTCTCCAAAAGAAACTCCTGCTTGTAACTTAGTTCAAATAATACTTTGTTTGTGCTGTGTATTTAATGAATTAGAAAAACCAAACTGTTAAATTTTGTTTTATTCTCTATGAAAGCTTTTTTTTTTTTTTTTTTTTGACTACATGGTATTAGTAAAATATGACAGCTTTAAAAAGCTAACATTCTTATATAGGTTTGGTTTTTTTAAATTAATTTTAAAAACTTTAAAACCCAGAACATATTCAGGCGCAGATACTGAAGACACTATGCACAGGCTTAATTTTACACACAGAAGTATCATTTGATACTTGATATCAGTTAAGCCTATGCTTAAGCACTTGCAGCATCAGGACCTTAACATCCCATCAGTGATTTCAGGTATTCCTTAACAAATTAAAATTCAACTTAGCAGTTGAAGAAATCCATGAAAACATTAAAATGTTTTCTCTTTCTCATGAGAAAAGGTGTTTGTGACAGAGAGAGACAGAAAGAAAAAAAAATATAGAAGTAAAAAAAAATACTGACGATCAATCAGTCTAAAGATTTTATCACTGCATATTGCACAGATGGTAATATTTATCATCTATTCATGTAACTAGCAGAAATTCACATTTATCAAAATAGGCTTTTACCTGCCTAAATTAAGAACTTATCACAAAACCCACATTTTTCAATGGGAACATAAAACGGACAGTGCTGCAGTGCATTTATAACACACCCTATGCAAGGTGTGTTAGTTAACACTTCTAAATATTTTCTTTGCATTTCTGGATTTTGGCCTCTGTTTTCTGGCCTCTCGTTCAAACTTGCGGGAAGCCTGTGAGCGAGTCTTTACAAGGCAGGCAGTCCTGGTTTTTACAACCTGCTTGCTGTTCCGTTGCGCCGGTTTGCGCCCACGCCTAGGGTGTGTTATAATCTTTTTTAAGTCCTTATGGATGGAATCATACCTATTCTCAGGATCGTCATCATCTTCCTCCTCCTCCATTGGAACAGCCCCAGATTTAGTCTCTCCTTCATCTCCTGGTGGGGGAGGAAGAAAAAAAAAAAAAGGGTACAGTCGATGTCAAGTGTAAAACCAGCAATCTATAATTAAAACTTCTATTGCCCGGTGACCTGTCCCTCAATAAAGTATATCTATTTAATGGTAACTTGATAAATAGTCTATCTTGAGTTGCAGAATAAATACTGCCTCCCCCTACAAAGCTATTAATAGATATAGCAATACCAAGCTCTTGAAGCAGCAGACCTGCGTACATTATTTCTATATACAATTAAACTGTAATTGTATAGTCTTTACTTCAAAGTATGCCAGAGTTGAATATTTTACTCTTCCAAAATTTTAAAAATTCAGCAGTAAGACATTAATATTCATGCCACAAATTGAAGCTCTTTCACCGAATTCACGTGGGTTGAAAAGAGGACTAAACAAATATAAAGCAATACTACTATCCACCGCCAAACAGATAAGCCATAGCACTGTCTTGTCTTAACACAAAATATTTCTAGAGTAGCTGTTCCTGTTGACTCTACTTTCCCCTTTAAAATAGCAGGGGAAAAGCCACAAAGATATTTTTACGTTGAAACATGCACTCTTAAACAAAGAAACTTACTTTTGAGAACTATACTCAGTGACTTCAGATATACATTGCTTCACAATACTGTTTCACAGATGAGGAACTTAAATGTGGCAACAAGAGTAGCAAGCATGTGGGATCGTCACCCAGCCTTCTCAAAAGGTTATTGCTCCTGTTTAGGTGCATTGCCTCCCCTCCACCCCCTTAATGGTAACAAGGGAGGGGAGGTGTTGGAAGGGAGGGGTTGTTCCTTCTTCAGGTTTGACCAATCACCTGCTTGGGATCAGAGACCATTTTTTCTGTTGGCTCAAACCTGCAAGGTCTGGCAGGTTTTTTCACCTTCCTCAGTCTTAGGGAGGCACAAGTGAATTAACAGTAAGATTTTAATAATCTGTACTATGAAACAAAGTGCTAACCCAGCACAGGAAAGCCTAAAAGTACCAGCTCCAAGATGTAACTGATATTAAAAAGGAATTTGCTGAAAGACCATCTACCTTTAGCAAAAGGGAGACTTAGGACTAAATTCTAGTCTACCTATAACAGGCTTAGGTGCAATCCTATTCCACCCTATTTAAACTCCTGAAAATCCACTAATGCATCATGGTGTCATCTCAGCCTTAATTCTATCACCAAAAAAAATCAGCAAGGAGGAAGAGAATCCATTCACCTTTTATTTTAAAAGTTTTTCAGGGACTTAAGCAGGCTGGTATTGAATCACACTTCAGTGCCTTATACATGAAGTACGTTCTGACCCTCAAAAGTCTATATAAACTGAGGTTTCCTTAGCCACCCCATCACAGCTACTGCTACCTGCCCTTTTACATAGCATAAAAAGAGGTGGGGGGCACTTAAATTACATGATTATACGGCGCAAGGCCTTTTAATCACACTTCAACCACATTTTAAGTGAACACCTGATTTGAACCGGAAGGAGGAAGGCATGTACAATTTTTCCCCAGCACTGAAATTAATAAAATTACAGATTATTGTTTTACATCCATCCCAACTATCTGACATTTTTTCTTGCAAGGCCTACTTAAACACAGGAGTCTACGGGCCTTATATGTTGACGCCAGAAGTCAACCTAAAAAGGGAAGGAGGCAAAACGTCTTGTAGTTACACAGGAATAGAGATGATATTCTTATTCAGACATTACTACCAACCATTTTAGTTGATATATAGGTTTACTTTTCGCTCCAAATGTTTTAAAACTTTCAAACTGAATCTTTCAAAATGCCAACAGCACATCAGACAAAATGTGTTAAAACTACACCCTAGTAACTAGGTTGTGGACATTTAGCCAAACTGAAAAAGTAATTTTAATATGTATATTTTTAAAGTTATTTTAGTGTTATATACCATATTTTCTTGCATTTAACATGCCTTAGGATGTAAACACCTCCTCCTTGATAGGCAGAATGGAAAAAAAAAAAAAAAAAAAAAAAAAAAAAAGACTTTTCCATAGTTATGAGTATGATTACATAGAGCAGGGACAGAGGCTGACTCACTCTCCTTTTTTCCTGCAGGAACAGTCAGCAGATAGCAATACTGTCCTAAGAAAAATTAACTTGATTGGTGGAACATCCAGACCACTGAAAAAGAGAAACTGTCATTAACACCTGTGGAGTGCAGACTGAGCCATTAAATCAACTAACTCCCTCAAGGAGTGGTACCACAACTGCTGAACTGTGAAGCAAGAATCAAAGCAGGGTGTTTCCTATTCTAGGCATAAAACTAGTTTCCCTGTTTGATACACGCACCCCAATTTTGGAGAACAGATTTTCAAGAGAAAGCTGTGATGTATGTAAAAAGACATGGTATTTGTCTCATAGTTCAGTGATATTTAGCACTGCTACTGGTAGATTGTTCCCACTTAAATACTAGATCAGACATTGTACAGAACACCAGTAAGAAAAGGAACTTGTCCATAAAGAGTTTGTTATAACTATTTCCTGTAGCTTTCAAGGTTCTCAACACATTGATGGCCAGCCAGCTACCAGCAGCAGAACCCGATAATCAGGGAACCTACTGAAACAGGATGAAATGCGAGTAATCCTTGTATCTAACACCTGGTCAAGAGGGACACTAAGCAGACAGCCATTCTTATACATGCACTTTCTTTTCCATTGCACTTGTAGGTCAGACATCTTTAATATGCTCACAGTTAAGACTTCTGTTCTTCCTTCAGCCTTCTCTTTTGCTTAAAATAAAGTCCCACAAAGCTAAAGGCAAAATTCAATCTCCATGCAAGCCCAGGGTAAAAAAAAGATTCTTCTTGATATCCAAATGATAAGTTCCTCAGTAGCCAGTCTTTTTAACATCATGCCATGAGGCATCTGACCCAATTAACCTTGACTGTTTGAGGACAATCACAATTTACAAATCCTTATTTTCCCCTCATCACCTGTTTTACCTTTAACAGAACCTTAATTATTCCCACTGCTGGTTTCTTTCCATTTTTTTAGAAATCATTCTAGTAATTCTTCTTACAAAACTATAAAAATAAAATATCCCAGTAGTGCTTAAAAGATGCAACAATATTTAAAATACTTTGGCTACAGACATATCCTGTTCTTTACATAAAATTGTATGCTCTGGTTCTTTTCTGGTGCTGTCAAAATAAATGTTGTTTTGTACAGTATCATTACTATTTGTATTATCTGCCTCTCATTGAGCAGACTAATTTAAAGCCCTAAATGCTGACAATCATTGAGATAAGCTTTAAGTTTTCATTGGTTATTCTTGGATGATTTCCTGAAAACATTATAGCCATTTTAAAAAGTTGTTTTTTTTATTTTAGTGCTATTCTTCTTATGTATTTATACTGAATGGTACAAAATTGCATAAATGTAATGATGTACTGAAGAAAGGACTAATAATCACAGCAATAGTCAGATGTAGTATAACTGTTTTTTCATGTTACACCATACCACTAGATAGATTTTCATAGGACTGGGGCAGAACTGACCTTGCATGTACCTAGTGTTTAGACATACAAGATTTCTCACACACAGCACCGTCAGCTGGAACCATGCAGTGTCAGGTGTCTCTCCCCACATTCCAACATCAGGACATAAAAAAGCTAAATCCATCCATCCTAAAATCACCAATTCAGAAGCCAGAATGCTGAGGACTCCAGGAAAGCAATAAAAGAGGGTATATCATAAGATCCTCAGAGTCTTTCCTCACATTGCAAAATAGAGTATCAGGAAGAACACAAGGTAAATAAACTGTCTAATCCAGGTAGAATTCCAAAACCCACTTGAGGAGAAATTGAGTATGAAGACTCGGTACTTTTTGCATGCAAAATGTTGCATAGAGAAATTCAACAAATGAGCTTTGAGCTCACTGATCTCTTAACAAAGGTAATAACCTTTCCACACTTCGATGGTGCAAGGAACAGTTTAAAAGTGGTTCAGAAGTGGAATCTGAAAGATTTTGAGGTCCTCCCATGTGGGTCTCAAGTCTTTGCTTTGCTAAACTCACATATTGTTGGGTGTGAAAAAACTCTGCTAGCAGATGATCACCTGAAATTACCACTGTAAGAGAGCTGAATAATAGACAGAATATTTTAAAATCAGCATGTACTAGAGGATCTTTGCTATTCTGGACTGTACTAGGTTGCACTGGACTGCCCATGTGGAGAAATAACCATTCATCAAAGAGATCAGCCTAGTAAATGGCTTCCTGGTCAGAAACTAATTCAGTAGAGCTTATCAGGAAGTGGTCTCTGTTTATGGCACACTAATCAACCGACATCTAGATCCTCAGATGCAGGGAATTCAGTTCTGGTGGAAATAGTTCCTGATGGCAACTCTGCAACGATATGGTCTGAGCAGTCTGGGAGGTATACACGAGGTGCAGCATGTCTGTCAGCTAGAAGCATCTTTTGCAGTTATGGAATTATAAAAAAAGAGAATGGTTTTGTTCCATCTGGTCTTGGCTATCATCCTTGGGAGGAGGAAGAGAGGGCGATTTCTCAGCAGGAGGAAGGCATTCCATAACAAGCCTGGATTCAACATCTCGAGAGTAAAAAACAAAGCAAATATCTGGTTGTGTATTGGTGGCATAGATGTCTGTTATAGGCCACATCATTTGAATACTGTCACTGTTACAGACCTCTACAGTAAGCTGTTTGGTGACAGACCGTCTACTTCAGAGGTCTGATAGGTTGCTGCCAACTTGTGGAAGATGAAAGGCCACTGAATCACACATCGCTGACATTCTGCTCCTAACTTGATCAATTCCTAGCACATCATTTATGAATTTACTTTTTTATTTACAAAGCATCTCTCAGAAATTTCATGTTAGAATCTATGCTATGGAGTTTCATAGATATGGTTTAAAATGTAATTTATGTATCCTAAATTATAGGACATAAGTTCTGTATTATCCAGGGACCAGGTCTTTTGCAACTGCAGGTGTTTCAAAAGAGGATCCATTTCT